TCAACCACGAGCGTTGGGGCTTCGTCGTACAGGCAGTTAGATTTAGCCGGCTGCTCTACGAGGTGTCTTTCAAGTACGCACAGAAGAGGAAGACTTTTGGCAAGACGCTTATCGAACACCCTCTTATTCGATGGAAACTAGCAGAGATGGCTCGCCAGATTGAGGGAGCTCATGCGTGGATGGAGAGTCTCACTCACCAGCTGTGTACCATGCCCCCGAAACAAGCCGTTCTTATGCTGGGCGGACCCTTGGCACTTTGCAAGGCCCACTGCACTAAAGTGAGTACCTAACACGTTGAGAGTTTGAGACCGCGTGATGCTCCTCAGATGTTCGAATATTGTGCTCGAGAAGCATCGCAGATTTTCGGTGGTAACGCTTACACGCGTAGCGGCTTGGGAGAAGTTGTTGAGAGGCTGTATCGTGATGTCCGGGCCCTGGCTATCCCTGGTGGCTCGGAGGAGATCATGTTGGATCTGGCAGTTCGTCAAGCGAATGCTCAATATAAGATGGCAATTGCTGGAAGGCTCTGATGAATTTTTAAGAATGTCAGTGTGTGAGGAGGTTTTTTCACAGTGATTTATTCGCCTTGTGTTGTTAGTGTTTTTCCTTCTCGGGTAAGGAGCCATCTCGGCTGACGGTAGGGTTGTAGAGTTCTCAGCTACTCCTATCCCGATCCTTGCTCCCACGGTATTCCCTCCTCCACTGACTTGACTTCCAGCGAGGAGGGGGCTCATGCAGGGCTATTGAGGGTGCGGTGCTCTACGACGGATCTGGCTGAGGCTGAGGTAGATGTAGCGCGTGGACCTTGCTTGTTGGGCAGCCTTTGCCACTCGAGGGGGTAGATTGTTTTTACGCCTATTCTGTATCCTTTGCTCTCAAATTGAATAGCAGTAGCGAGCTCGGGTGGGAAGGTCTATAGGGATTGTATTACCATTCTCAGATGTACTTAGTGGTCTGCTTGTTCTACCATCGAGGAGATGACGAACCTATAGGGGTGGGACTATTGGAGTTGCACCGAGATGACGAGTCAGATCACTCTTTGTTGATGAAACTCAAGCCATGGCGACCAGTGAACTCGCAGGTCCACACTCTCCTATGAATATCGGAGGAGCTCGGTCTCGGGCCTGGCCATCGTTTTCTATATCCTCGAGAGCGATGTCTGTGAAGGGAAGAGTCTCGCTGACATTGCTATGGTGCGGCGCCTTGATCACTTCTGCGACTAAAGCGTTGTGGCTTTCCAGATGGGTGGGGATCATCTTTACCTCGATCATCGTCTGACCATACGATCGAGCTCGATTTATTTACCAGCAGCGGAGATGGCTATCGGGCTGTCCCGAAGTGTCGATATTATCGTTCCCTCGGGTGGTACTGAGGGGGGCTCTGCCAGCAGTGTACAAGCACCCCTCCTCAGAGCCGAGTGCTCGACTATCCGCCTGGTCGTA